CAGCCAGGAAGGAGCTCCAAGTGCCAGATCTGAGCTCTGGATCCTGTCCCCTCCCACGGTCAGGGACTCTGCTCCCACAAATAACCCCACTCCTGCCACAGGGGACTTGCATCGACGCCAAGCAAGGTGTAGTACCTCCCACCTTGAGAACAGGCATCAGGCACAATCCTGCGAACCCAGGTAGCCTTCGCTTCCCCACCACAGGATAGAGCCAGCTGCCGCGTCCCCACCCGGCCCGCCATCTAGGTGGGGCCTTGTGGCTCGTCTCACCTGGGGAGTGTGAGTGGAAACCGCATGTGTCACTTCTAGGCTAAGCTGTCAAAATGCGGGTGGATTCTCCACTCCCTCCACCCCTCACAGAGCCAGGAGGCGGGGAAACCTGCGTCCGCAGACACCGCTTGGAGGACAGCTGCCCACCGATCGGCAACACCCGTTTGAGACTTTATGTGATCGAGAAATAAACTTCTATGGCCTTTGCACCATTATGCATTTGAGGGTCTGCGTTTCACAGCAACTGACGTCACTCTAGTGAACTCAAACCAGATCCCATTCAGCTGCCTCTTCATCACCTTTCCTTAGAGTGAAACTCCTTGAACGAGTTGTCTGTCTCCACCGTCTCCACTTCCTGACCTCCAGTTCTCGGACAGGCCACGCCCACCTGGATCCCCCACCGCTCTGCAGCAAGCCGAGCAATTCCACCTGCTAACCCAGCGGTAGTTCCAGTCCTCACCTCAGCCCCCTCTCAGCGGCATGGACGTCGGTGATTGACTGCTGGATACTCTCCTCTCCGGCTTCCACGGCATCAGTGCTGCCTGGGTCCCTACCTCACTGGCTTTGCCTGCACTGTCTCTTTCGCTGGATCCTCTTCTTCTTAAGCTCAGAAACTTGGAGACCAAAGGCTCGGCCTCACATCTCGTCTCTGCTGTGAAAGGTTGCTCCCTCATCAGCTCACCCAGCCCTGGACTTGAAACGCCTTTCGGCCTCCAGGATTGCCAAGTCTACACCCTCCACCCAACTACCAACTCACTCCCCGATGCCAGCACTTGGGTGTCTACTCGCCAGGTCGGTTTTATCACATCGACTTCCCCCTCAAACTTGCTTCTCTCCCGCCCCGCTCCTGTGTTCTAGATCTCAGTAACCGCCCCCGCCCCCGATTCACCCACCCCGAGGATCATCTTTTTTTCCCTCTCTCAGCACCTACATCCAATCCAAAATGAATCAACATACCTCAAGTGCAAGCACCTCTCACTACCTGCCCCGACGTCCTGAACCCGATCCTCGTCATCACGCTCATGGACCACACAAGGGCCTCCTGGGGACCACCTTCCTAGCCTTGCACACTTTTTAGTGTGCTCTCCACACAGCAGCCAGGAGATCTTTTTAAAACGTGCCCGATCACGAAACTCCTCTTCGCAAGACCCTGTAAAGATCTATATATTCCGGTCCCATAACTGCTCTCATCCTACTCTCTCGTTTACTCACTCCGCTCCAGGCAAACTGGTTTCCTTATGACTCCCTGAGCACACCAGGCCCGTGCCCACCCCAGGGCCTTTGCACTTGCTCTTCCCTCTGCCCAGAATGCTTTTTTTCTCCAGGCATCTGTGTGCCTCGTTCCCTCAGGTTTCTTCCAATGTCACTTCCAACGTCTTCCCTGGCTGCTCCATCTAAATCGCCCCCCGTACTCTACCCCTTACGCCACCCTGTCTCTCTCCATGGTATGATCACTACTCATCAGGATATTATATTCATTTATTTCTTGGCCTGTTTCCCCTCCACCCCCGGCATATCCTTCCACAGAGCCCAAGGCAAGGATTTTTCTTACTTGTTCGCTGCTGCTCCCCAAGTGCCAAGAGCAGTGGCTGGTACATAATCAACACTCAGTAAAATATGCTCGGTGAATGAAGGAACACCCATAATCATAAGGGAAAAGCACCCTTAATATTCGCCAGGAAATCAAAGAAAGAATTCTACCGTGAAACAGGAAGCGGAAGTTAAGAAACAAGAACAGGCGGTTATAAGAAGAACAAAACAATAATTTTGAAACGAAACGTATAAATTCTGAAATTAAAATCCCCATGGTTTGGGAAATAAGAGTCCCAGTAGAAGGGCTAACGAGCGGGAAGAATTCAACTAACGAGCACATCAGTGAGCTGGACACGGGAGCCGCCCACCTGCCACCAGGAGGAGGCTGGTTCAGACGAATTTGTAGTATGTAATTGTTTGTAGTATGTCACTGAGGTATTTGCTCATTCAGCCATTCAGTCTGTGCTTACTGAGTGTCTACAATGTGCCAGGCGTTGCTCCGGGTGACGGGGATACAGCAGTGAACAAAACCGACCAAGTCCCCACCTCATATTCCCGTGGCGAGCAGAAAGAAATTATGTGAGTCGAAGATGAAGGACGCTGGATGGTGGTAAGTGCAATGGAGAACAGAGAAGCAGGAAGGGGGACTGGGGGGCCTCAAGAGTGGGGGCGGTTAAAGCCAGATAGGGTGGTCAGGGAGGGCCTTGCCGAGAATGAGACTTCTTAACGAACACTTGAGGGAAGGGCTCTCTGGGAGAAGAGGGCTCCTGACAGCGAGTGCAAGGGTCCTGAGGCAGAGACATGCCTGGCACACGCAAGCGACAGTGAGGAGGCCCAGGGGGCCGGTGTGGAGAAAGCGAGGCTGGGAGGAGATGGGCCTAGAGAGGCGGGAGGGGCGGCTCACGGTCAGGGCTTCGGCTTTCCCTCTGTGTGAGGTGAGGACACACTGCTAGAGACTGAGCACAGTGGCGACGTGGGCCGACGGAAGTCAGGAAGAATCCTTCCACCCGTGTGTGGAGAGTAAGCCGCAAAAGCTCACAGGTGGAGGCAGGGAGGCCAGCGAAGAGGCCACCGCAACACCCAGGGGAGACAAGACGGTGACTTGGGCCAAGGTGGCGGCTGCGGAGGTCGGAGGCGGACGGGTCCTGGGCTTGTTTTTTAGGTGGGACCGATAGGACTTCCTGGCCAGTGGCAGAGGGGCTGTGAAAGGACAAGAGACATCAGGAAAGACTCCAAGACGCTGTCCTGAGCGACCGGAAAAGTGGAGTCGCCAAAGGCTGCGTGGGGAAAGCAACGGGAGAAGCACGTTGAGGGGGAGCTCGGCTTTGGCCACGGTGAGTGTGAGACAGGTATCGGCCCTGTGACAAAAGTGAGAAGCAGGAAGGGGGACTGGGGTGCGTCCCCCTTCTAAAGGAGACAGCTGAGGTTCGTTCGGGTCAGAGAGCTGAGTGCAAGGGCTGCAGCGGGCAGTCTCTTCGCCCTTCTTCCCTGCTTTGTGTACTCCTGGTGCGCGCCACCCTCTGCCCCCTCCCGGAAGACACCCTGCCCGCCCTCCACCCTGGGGGAAGGGGAGACTGTCTTCCCCCTCAGGACAGAGGGCTGGGCGTGCAGAGCAGGAGGGGAGCCCCAGGAGACCAGCACAGTTGGCGACCAAAAGCCCTCAGTGCTCACCCCTCCTCCCCAGGGCTCGAGTGTCTCATCTCCTTCCCCTGTTCCTCTGGGTGCCTCCTCCTCCCTTCCTCCCATCGCCATCTCGGCTCCCACCTGGCTCAGCCCCTGTAGCACGTGGCAGGGGGCCGGTCTGCCCTCTCCCCGGGCAGCAGCGTCACCTGAGCCCACAGCTCCTCCTTCAAATGCTGCAGACCTCCAGTCTCCTCTCCCGTCCTGCCTGGCCCTGGCCCCCAGCCTCCCATTTCCAACCACCTGTGTGACACGCCCACAATGATACAGCACAAAAACGTAACATCTCCCACACCTGCTCCTCCCCAAGGCCTCCCAATGTTGACAGCAGCCGCCAACCACCAGGTACGAGTCAGGGGCACCGTGGCACCCCCTTCTCCCTCACCGTCTCCCCACCTCAAGTCCCGCAGGTCACTGGGTCTTGTCAACTCTACCTCTAATGGGGACCTTGAATCCTCCCTTCTGTCCCCCATTCTGCAAACCCCAGAGGACCTCGGGGCCCCGGTGGGTGTGGAGGAGGC